AGTCCAGCACCATTGGATCCTAACAGGCATTGCAGAAAGCTCTCAGAAGTTCGATATATTACAAGGGAGCTAACTCCACACAGAGGTTTTCCTGCTTACATAGTCAGGCTAATCATGCTTCTGCTGTACTGCTGACTTAAAAGTATCTACATCAAGCATCCAGCCTGAAGGTTTTCTGACTTAGTCTGCTGACAATTTCTCGAACCTGCAAGTCTTATCAGCACTTATAAGTCGGAGAATGATGGGACCACAAAGATACTGACAAAACGCAGGAACCCAGCATAATAATTATCTAGTTTTTAATTGCATATTTCTCAGTCACCAAATATGGAAGAAATAGAATTAAGTTAAAATTTTCTCTCTTTTTCTGAAACATTGATCCTACAAGAAATGGCTAAAAATAGAGCTATGTGAAAAAGGGTAATTTCAGGAATACAAATATCACATATACTCTGTGATAGGAAATTAGAAGATGCACTTTTGGGGAAGAAGGAGAAAACAAAAAGAAGCTTATAGATGCGGTGAAAGAGGCAAATAAGGGAATTACGTGATTGAAGTATATTACATAGACATATGAAAATGCACAATTGTAGCACATTGTGCACAATACTTTTAATACTAATAATACACTAACAAAGCATTTACTAATTGAGGTTGTACCTTAGCTCATTTAATGATTATCTAGTGTACATTAAGTTCAGAATTTCATTTACAGAAACATATAAAGTCAGGTGTTATAATACTGGCCTCTAATATTCCCACTCAGAAGGCAGAAATACAAGGATGAGACATTGTGGTGAACCTCAGCTGTATTGTTGAAGGTCAGACTGAGATGAGAGATTCTGAATATAAGTGAAAAACAAACAAGGAGAGTAGAGATAGGAAGGAAAAAAGGAAGAGAGGGAGGAAGAGAGGACAGGGAGATGAAGGAAGGAAGAAAAGAAGAGATGGGGATATTATTTCATGTCTCAGTGATTACAGGAGAATCACAGCATCTTCGAAATGAAAGATACATTACAGGACTATTTTTCTAAACACCAGTTTTATTGGAGAGACTCGTCAAAACTCCGTTCTTCTGATCTTTGTTAGATTTACTGTGTAAGAATTTCTAAGAGGTTTTATATTAGTGCTCTATCACATTCCCATGCAGAGCATCGCTGAGGTAATATCATTTAATGCTAAGGAATGCCATGCTTCCAAAATGAAATATGTTCTATTATCAGTACTTCAGTCAGTAAACAGTAAGGAAGATAAGAATCCATACATAGGGTAGAAGCAAGTAGTATAATTGATAATATTATATTTATGTATTTACTTTCTTAGCTTTAAGAAAGAATCTCATTATGTAGGGCTTAGACGGCCTGAACTTGAGATGTAGACTAGGATGCCTCAGGATGACAAATGTCTACCTGTTCTTGCCTCCTGACTCCTGGTATTAAAGATGTTGATCACCACTTCTAGCTGGTGAGATTTATGACTATACCCACTAGTGCTTTGTTAACTCAAAGTATATTTATAAAACACTATTTAACAAATAAAAATGATCCAATTCCAGATAAAATTTTACCTTTAGCTTTGACCTGGTCTTATTTTAAACATGTTCTGTATCCATAAAGAAGAATCAAGGCTCTCTACACTTTACCATGGTCTTCTCTCCATATATATATATATATATATATATATATATATATACCCAAGTTTCCTGAAGACAGGTACCATGACTTATTCTACTTAGTGGCCATTTTTCCTGGGCATACACAGACCTTCTTTGCATTGCTCCCCCTATTGGAATGAACAAGATTAATTAGGGTCATGTCTTAAAAGGGCCAAACTGTCAACATGTAGCTCACCTCCTTGGGGTTCCACATTACTATTACTATTATTATTATTATTATTATTACTATAGCTTTATGTCCTAGAATAAAGTCACAAAGTCAAAGGACTGAAGGTCCTGATGCATCAACATTTTAATCTTTCTTTTGTCACATAATTGTAAAGTTTAGACATATGGGCCTTTTCTGAAGTCACTGAGGATATCCAGCTTGGGTAGACAGAGAAAAAGTTGTTCTATGTATTCATACTTTTCCTTTTATGTTAGTTCAATTCACTTTTTTGTCCTATATTCCAAGTTACATATTTAAAGGTCCTAATCCCAGAATTTGGAATGAATACAGGAACGCTTTTGAGCTGTTTAATTTTGAAAGATTGTCTAAACAGGTACACAAGGAAGCTACCATGTGGTCATTATAGCACCATGACGTTTTACTTTGATATTTTAATCCAAAGCTCAGCCAAGAAAAAATGTATAAAGTAACAACTTGCTTGTTTTGCATTTTGTTTCACTTAGGGTCACTTGAAAAAGAAGATCACTGCCCTAGTATGATTTCGTAGTACACCATTCCCTCCAAAAAAAATGCCTCCTTAATAAGACACATTCTGATTCGTTCAACACACTGTTGCTGATGAATCATTTCAGTTGTGTTGATCTTGGATTCATTCGCCCTCTGGTCTGTCTGCTTCCTCTCTCCTCTGCACTCTCTAGTAGTGAGTTAGTTTCTGTGGGATACTCTTGTTTGGTTTCTTGTCATCTGCTCCTTTTTTTCTCTTGGTGAATATACACATACAGTAGGAATGGAGTAGAAGTCCACCTGGTTATAAGTCTGAGTTTGGTTCAGGGCCACTGTAATGCACAGTTCTGGAGAGCAATACTCACTCTGAAGTATATTTAATAGAATAAGATACAATTGCTCAAAATGTAGCCCATGTAGCCACTATAAGTTTGTGATGCCAGAAGCATTAGTATACATAAAGGACCAAAAAAAAAAAACCTGTTTTGGTAATAATCTTATAGATTGAGTGGAATGAAGAAAAACACTAGATTAAAGTCAGAAAAGCTAGAACTACTACTTTATTATAGATGTAAAAGAGAAAAGAATTATAATGATAAAAGAACTTGGTACATTATAAATATTTAATTTTTATGACCAAGAGAAAGCAACTGGCAAAGTTTATATTTAAATATTTTAAAATTTATTTTGCATTTATTTATTTATTCATTCATTTATTTATTGTGCATTGCAATGTTTCTGTCTGTTTGTCTCTCTCTCTTTCTCTTCTCTCCCTCTCCCTCTCCCTCTCCCTCCCCCTCCCCCTCCCCCTCCCC